TGTCAAATCAACATTCAATCAGAAGTATACCGCAAGGTGTGAAGTCGACGATTTTAAGTGTCCATAAGTACCTGACATATGTTAAGTCACGATCAGTCAAAGTATCAAATCTCTCACATCTTACTGATTAAAAAACGATATATACGTGGAAAAAACTTGGAACAGGCAAAGAGGCTTTCGTAACAACGGCGAAAGAGCAACTGAAACGGAAGAAACGACGTAGAAAAGCGTGGTTAAGTTTGGAAACTAAACGGTTCTAAGACGAGAGCAGGCTTTCCAAGGTTGATAACTGACAAAATTTCAGGCGAGAAGTATAGAAAGGAGCTGAAAGGTCACTATGAAAAGAGAAAACTATTTTCTGGAAGATGCAGGCTGAACTAATGAAAAATGCGGCTCTGAAAAACAACATCAAGGCATTGTTCATTACCACTGCAACTTCTACAAAAGGAAGCTTTGAATAAAATCCGTCATAAAAGAAGACAGCAACATCACGTCCAAACCTATAGAAGTCTTTGAGACAGAAAACATTTTGAATCGCTGCTGAACAATGATTTTATTCTGAAACAAGATTCACTGTATAATATTACGCCTGAACAAAATATAAGTGCTACTATTTGGTCCCTCACACTTGAAAAAGCAACAAATACCTCAAGTCAACTGAAACATCGCAAAGCTGCAGGAATTAATGAAACACAATCAGAATTAATTGTGAAATCTTGAATGAACGGAGTGCTGGCATCAGTGAATCTTTTTAAATTTGCATGAAAAAAAAGATATCACCAATGACTCAACGAAATATATTGCGTTCCTTCTATTCAAATAAGGCTGTCGGTTGCATCCAAATTCTTATGGTGGAATCAGCTGACTATCTGTTCTTGCAAAAGCTTTCTTGCGTCTTTTGGTGATAAGGATCAGCCGACGTATGGCGAAAATATTAGGCAAATAACAGTCAGGATTTAGGACAGACGTGGGATGTCTGCACAAGATGTTAACAGTGAGACAGCTAATGGAAAAGAAGAGAAAATGAAGATAAAAATTCTTGACAATATTCGTCGATTTCACCAAAGCGTTTGATTCAATCTCGTGAGATGTCACGTGGAATTTGGGTGAGCAACGGAATCCAAAGGAAATATTTTTTCGCAAAATTATAATGGTGTGTAATCTTTCATCAGATGCGGTGCGAACTTATAGCAGCTTTGATAAATTCTTTCGCACAAAATTTGGAGTGAGGCATAGAGAAGTGGAGTCTTCACTGCTCTTTGCGATGTTTTTTGATTAGGTGCACCATCCGATGTGAAGGAGCAAAATTACGAAGACAAAAGTGGGTAACATCTGTGTAAATTATTGCGTAATCTACTCATTTACGAATAACATCGCATGCATGCAGATAGCTTCGAAGCTGCGATATCACTGCTTTTAATTCCAAACAGAAGTCTTTTCGGAACCAAGTAATTTTCTATTGCTCGTGCATTCGTTTTGTGCTATATGTCTAGTCTATTAACATGTCAGTTTGCCTGCTTTTAGCTCTGCAATCAGAAAGAGTAAAAAGTAGGGATGTCTGAAAGCTTTACTATTTCACCAAAATTACAAAGCAATAGAAAACATAAGACGCCGTTTCTAGTCGTATGTATTTTTCAGTGATTTCGATGAACAAATATCTTCTTGAAATTGAAATCACTGATATTTGACACTCTTGTCATGCTTACATTACATCGAATTCACATTCACTCAATTTTCCCCAGAAGTTAGGTTCAATGCGCAATTTTTTGTGGCCTTTGCACTGCAAAACTTTAATAGGCAAGAAAGATAACAGCTTGCGCTGCTTATCAAACTGGATAGTTAGCTATCAAGAGAGTCATGGTGAACTGAAGCTCTATGAAATGTCCACATATGGCACCACGGTGGTACCTCTCCCCGATTCTGATATGCTACAAAGAAACAAAGTACTACTTCTGTTGATCGCAAATAAATGACATTTAATTTGTCTCTCGACTTATTGCACTGAAACAACGCAGGATGAATTCCTTGCTAAAAGGAATTAACAACTGATAAATCTTTGTTTCGGTATCTAAAGCCGATCACGTACCGTCACTTCCACTTGCCTTTACTTAGCTTATCCGCGCGCGCCACTTACGACAACTCTAATGTTTCGACTTAAACGATACGGTTAACTGTTCAAAAGTATTGTTGCTCGACCCAATATACTGGGTTTTGAATCAATGTGCTCCTATGCTATGAAACCACTAAACCGTGGCATACATAAGGAATTTCCCGAGCCACTAGAATAAACGATAGTTGCGCATAGAGAATTTGTAGAAAAGACGTATATATTTATTGAGCCAATTGCTCTGCTGAGGAACAGAAATGAAAATAGAAGTTAAGTGCTCAAAAACTAGGTTGCTCAGTGACAATTCCATTAAGCGTAAATGAAAAAGTTTAAGGTATATTACAGTGCAAATGAATGACAGTGAAGAGGAAACAGACGAAGACAGGAACAAAATTGTTGTAACTAGCATATCGAATGACAGTTATGTAACCAAAATTAGCCAAATGAAGAAGAACAAGGATGTCTGAAATTGAAATATTGTTTAAGCTAAACTCGCCAGCTATTAAATCGCCGGATCATCTATATTTCACCGTACCATCTGCGAATACTTATTAGTGTGATTCTTCTGCTTATTTACCAGCTAACTTGCAGTTCTTATGGTTGTTTAATTATCTTGATTCTGTGCACATACTTGAAAGGCTAAGCTTTAATTCATTTATTTTAATCATTATTCAGATGATACGCTTCATGCATATTAGCAAGATAGAATGCTGCTGTGTGACTGTGGGCACGCCACATTTAAATGAACTCAGTGATTCTGCAAGTAATGCACATTGAAAGTACTGGTTCTCCTAGCATTATTACAGTGTCGCTTGTGTTTGGATCTCCATATGAAAAGCTCGCGTCATACACGAGATACAAGAAAAGTCATTTGTACGGAAGCCAGTTGGCTAAAAAGAAAAATTATGGAAGCTATCAAGACGCTGCGGACTAAAAGCGAGATCAGCAGGCAAGCACGGCTTTCTCATGCATATTGTCAAGTTGACAATGCCTGTACGCTGTTTAAACTCGCATTTCGTGTTAGAGACTCATCAAATACTCTTACACTTTTGAACTAACACCAAAGTCATGCAAAATGCAGCAGAAAAATCTACAATCCCTTGACCAAGACAGTACTGATTATTAAAAAATGGAAGGACACCTATAGAAGGCTTGTTCTCAGCAACAGGTGTCTCACTACTATGAGATGCAAGATAGTTGCGGGATCTATTCCGG